TGCAGAAAACATGTCCCAATAAAATAATTATACACTATTTTCAGTAGTTAAAAATCTAGGCATTCTCCCAAATGACTAAACACATACTTACTGAATTTCAGTGTTTATATAGTTCCAATCCTAATGCTGGAAAAGGCAGCAATTGGTGTAGAAGTTCTCAATCTCCCCTCCAGGGGTTGAGAATATACATTAGCTGTTTGCCACCCAACTCTCCAAACATAACTACCTGCCTAGGTAGCATTTAGGAAGTCCTGCCTTTAGCCTCTACGCTGAAACTCACAGCTGCACTGAAGACTCTTTGAAGCCGAAAATACTGTAACTGGTTCTGAACACCATTATGAACAGCCCGCTACAAATATACTTGCAAACACTAGTTTAAGAAAACAATGTTTGTCTCATAAGAAACGTTCAACTTAAATTCCAAAGTCTAATGTTCCTTTATATGCTTAAATGCACTTATGAAAAGTGTACTGTGAACTGATATTGGTTAACACTCTCAGCACCCTTTACAAACTACAGTTCGTAGGATTAATTGGGGGAAGCCATAACTGTTAGAGGTATATAAAGGTAAAGGTACCCCTGCCCGTACGGGCCAGTCTTGACAGACTCTAGGGTTGTGCGCTCATCTCACTCTAGAGGCCGGGAGCCAGCGCTGTCCGCAGACACTTCTGGGTCACGTGGCCAGCGTGACAAGCTGCATCTGGCGAGCCAGCGCAGCACACGGAACGACGTTTACCTTCCCGCTATAAAGCGGTACCTATTTATCTACTTGTACCTGGGGGTGCTTTCGAACTGCTAGGTTGGCAGGCGCTGGGACCGAGCGACGGGAGTGCACCCCGCCGCGGGGATTCAAACCGCCGACCTTTCGATCGGCAAGTCCTAGGCGCTGAAGCTTTTACCCACAGCGCCACCCGCGTCCCTTTAGAGGTATATAACAATGTTTAAAAGTATGGTTTGGATGTGGTGTTACTCTAAAACAGATATTTCGTATGTAACTGTCTCTCCCTCCAATTTAAATCATGATTTAAAGCTGAACACCAGACAGGTTTGTGACATGCTTGAAAGCTCCAATTAAGAGAAACAGACAGTCATTTTCTTACACGACTTCTCATACATACATCATGATGCTGTGCAAATTCTAATTAAGTTAATGGGAGCTGTGATAGTGCTTTTGTTTCTCTAGGACCAGGACAAAGAATCTTCTCAGGAGGTAGTGTCCCTTGGGTAATGATGCTTTCATTGATAGTATGATCTGTCAATAACTGAAGGTAATTGTCTCATGTTGGGACTAGTCCACTGCTGATTATATATTTATTTGCCTTAGTCCGGGTTGTGCAAACAATCTTTGCACAAATCATTAATTGTTAATTGTAGTGCATTGTTGTTGTTGTTTTGCATTTGATAGCAGCTACTAGACATTGTTTGCTGTAATTATAAATCAGCTTAACTAATGAAGAAAATAATATTTATTTGTGCGTCTGATGTCGAGCTCATCATAATGTCTGTTAGTTCTTACTCCAAGAACTGTAAGAGATACCAAAATGATAACAGCAGTTCTCAAATTAAGCTACCATTCCACCATTCATTTCCATTGCCAATTACCATATATCCCTGTTGCTCATTTTGGACTAGAGTTCATGCTTATAGTTTTAAGGAATATCTTGCACAACTGTTTCCTTTCAAGCTATCTGATCTCAGTTTCAGTTTATTACATATCCTAGTGACTATAGCTGAAGATGAGCTCATGTCACCTTCCAGCAGGAAAAGAACCACTGTAGACTGTAGAGGTAGTGTGGTTTATTGTTGCTTTGCTGCAGTATATTTTTGTTTTTAGGAAGCTAATCAATACCTTTGCAAACCTAAAAGGAACAGGGTACACAAACAGTAAATCACAAAATGTTTATTAACTGAACTCAGCTTTACTATTAATGAACAGAATTATTTAAGTTTCATTAGGCCACTGTGACAAGTGCCACAATGTTGGCCACAGGATTCATGACGATATACAATGTTTGTGTGGTAGTGGAAGGGGTATCATAACATTTCTTGACAAGGGAAAACTCCTATAACTTTATTTAAAGGAATCCAGGGAAACCTTGCAAATAATCAGGCGAAAGTCAATCATCCACCCCCAATCCATTCATCTGAGTCTCCTAGAAGACATGACACAGCAGGAAGGAGGGGCAATTGCCATTACTGCCAAGCTATGGGCTGGCATCAATGGTAGCTGCTTCCTTTCTATTCTCCATACTTAAAGCTCCGGGTGGGGAAAGAGAGACTCTGGACCCAAGGGCAGCATCTATATCATGACAGAGTCCAAGCTTGGTTTCCCCTCACTCTCCTGCCCCCCCCACACACAGAAGGTGGGGGAAGAGATAAATCAGCCAGCCAGCCAATCACATCTGAGGTAACAGAACTCATCTCTCTTTGGGATGTGGGACAACAGAAAACACAAGGGACAGTTCTACAGCAGAGTTAGAAGGATGTGCCTTTTCCTAGTCTGCTCCTGTTAGAGCAGGGCTTCCTAAAGTGGTTGATATTGACCCCCTAGTGTCAATGGGTCTGTGAAGGGGTGAATAAAGACCTAGAGACTGAAAGGGAGAGGTGGTCGGCTGGAGCCTTCCCTACCTGGCCCTTGCTCTGCCCCCCAGCCAGCAGCTGATTGGCTAGCCAGGGAGGGGGCGTAGCGATGGCCAGGCGCAAGCAAAAAGGGGGGTGTCACCCAGGCTCAGGAAGCCCGCGCCAGGTCGCAAACCCCGCCCACCGCTTTAATGGGTGAGTGGTAATTACAGGACACAGTTCAAAAAATAATAATAACTGGGAACTATGAGCCTCGGAAACAAAGGGCATGGACATGTATAGAGTACACCTTCATTGCCAGTGAGGAATGGAGGGTATTTCTTCACTTAATTTCATTTACATTTGGGTTAGTGTCGATGACAGCTTTATAAAGCTTATCAAGGGGTCAATGAACTCACGAGGTTTGGGAAACCCTTTGCTAAAGAGGAATGAACACAATGCATGTGACCTCTTCCACCACGACCAGGATGCTTTTCAGAATGGGCCACACCAGGACCCAGGAAGGCTGATGGAGGGAACAGTCCCATTCACTGCCTCCAGAGGAGTCAGGGAGTTTGTCTGCAGAATCGTTGCTTTGCCTTTACAGCAGAGAGAGCCAACCTTCAGAACAGGAACCTGCACAATAGTCTCTTTTGGTTGGCCACCTAGAGATAACCTCTTACACATATCATCCGATCGATCAACAAAATGGTTATTTGCAGCGCTGGTTTTGATTCGTTTTCAGGTTGCTGCAGGCTTAGTAATGCTGATTTCACAACAGTGTTTACCATTCTTAAACTAACATTCTTGGCAACTGCATTTACACGCATATTGCCCTTCTCAAATGGCCTGAAAGACCAAGGGTAAAGGTTTCTCTGAATCCTTGCATTCTTGCCTTGTTGATTACTGCCCTACCTACTTCTCCACAACCTGTAACCACTAGCACAGGTTAACAGCCCAGGAAACACTTCCTGTATGCTGTATTTACCTTAGTAACACTTGTTAACGACAAAATTCTTGGCAACGTTTTAAGGACTTTGTCTTCAGTGAAACTCCTGGCCGTATAGTAAAGCAAGCTCTGGCAGTTCCAAGATTATAGAAAGCAATGAATAATTTGTTCAAGACCTAACATTTATATTATCTCGTGAAACAGACTATAATAATAGCAATTATACATAGCCTGAACACACTGTACTTAGCTTTCCTTTTCATGAGAATAGTTTCTCTCTGATACTGCACACACTAAGACTTCTCAAACCTATTCTAAAAGTGAGAAAGACTGCCCTCAGGAATAATGAAATTATTCTTTATTATTGTCATTATTATATGGTACTCTCAACACCCTCAAATGCTTCATATATATTGTTTTCAGTAATTCATACATCAGCTTTTATGGCAGGGCACTGTTATCACCCTGATATTACAGACGGGTCACTGTGGCCAAGATTTAGTAGTTTAACACAACCTTTGATCAATGAACTGCTTAGGAAAAATGGAATCAAGGACTTCTAAGTCCACAGCACATAAACTTAGTCACTTTAACAAGGCTGGGCAGATGAGGACCTACTGGTAGATCTCTAGGTAACCTGCAGCATCTCACCAGGGGTTTTTGTGCACAATTGTTTAACAATGTCATTTTTTAAAAAAATGTGCTTCCTCCTCATCTTGAATTAGGTAGCTGAAGAGAAGAAAGTTTGGGGTAACAGTGGAGTTTTTCATGAAAGGGCTACAAGTTCAGTTCAGGTGCTGAAAAGTTCCTAGGCTCCACATATGCTCAGAAGCACCCAGTTCTTTTATTCTAAATCTATGTCCTTTGCACCTGGTTGTTAAATCTTGGGGGTGGGGTGTTGTTTAGTAAAAACAAGCAAAGTAGATATATGACAAGCCTGCAGTCTGCCCAACTCTGCACTACACAATATTACCTCTGTTAGTAATGTATCGCACAACATTTTAGCAGAATATCCATAGGCAACACAGTATGTCCCTTGGGTTCAGCTCTCCAGTTAAGAGATTTCCAGATCTGAATACTAAACCAAAGGTGGGTACATGCATGCATAGCAAACACACGGAGAGAGTACCCTTCTGGTAATTACACGCTTATAGTGAAGCCTTCCATTTTTACTTTCACATTTAAGAACTGTTGAACATACGACTTTGCATCTTCAAGCGATGCAGCCATTAATTAGTAAAGCAGCTTGGCACATTTTAAATGTCAGCAAATACTTAAAAACAAAATGTACCAAGGTAGTTGCTTCAGAAAAATGGACGCAAATTAAATCCCAGCTTTTACCGGCTTGAAGATCTAAAGAAGCCTGACAGCTTCCACGCTGAACATACAAAGGAAACATTATATAAAATCCCTGTATACATGAACAGCAGCACCACAGAAGTCACATTTGAATATTCTTAAAAGTCAACTGATAAAAACACAGGATACTTACTTGACAGTAACTCGATTAGATAGATCTTGAAGGTCACCAGGATGAAAAAGCTGAGCTTCTTTTAATCCAAGATTTTCACAAGCTTTCAAAAACACATTTATATTATCCTGTGAAGAGAAGTGGAAAGCAATTGCTTAGTTGAGCAACGTGAAGGAAAGGATTGCAAGCTGCTTAGCCGAAGTTTCAAAGTCCAGTATGCGGAGAAACAGAATGCCAATCTTCTGGATCATAAATGCTAGCAATATTTCATATGAATCCTCTGGTTAAGCAATGGTCTCTGTGACTGACAGACCACGTTAAAGATTACCAGGTACAAAAGCAAAAATGCTCAGCCAGTAAGCAGCAATCTACACTTTGATGTCAGCTCTGCAAACAAACGCCCTCTTTTCAGCTTTGCATGACAAGCCTCACCTCTCACATTTAAAAATAACTACAGCTACTGACATTCACCCACCCAGAAATGGCTGGCAACGGAGGAATTAAGAGGAGGAACTCTGTTTCTATGATTACAGATTGATCATAGAATAACGCACCTGGAATCTGGCTTTGGTTACCGAGCAAGCTAATACGAGAAGAAGCAAATGAAAGGCAAGAGCAAAAAGACACAGCACAAATGTGTGGTTTTCATTGGGCAAGCTGGAAAACATAGGTGTGGTTTAGCACTGACTTAACTACACCTGCTCTGGGCCAGCTGCTTGAGTCATGCACCGAAAGCTACAGGGAGACTTTGCAGTTCGTGTCCTCACTTTTTTGTTTAAATTACATGTGTATTTATGACAGCGTCTGGCTGGTCCACGTTAAACCCCGTCATCCAAAGTGGCCAAAGAATTTCTGCCCGTACATTCCAAAAGATACCTAGTAAAAATAGCACCCAGGAAGGGAAACAGAATGCAAATATACATGTCTATGATTGTGACATAAGCAATCCAAAGCTTTTAAAGTGCCTGCTCTTCGGCTAGGAGCTTCAAGAATAGTGTAATGGGAGGAAAGAGATATCTGAAAGCAATAGCAAGGGAGAACTTCCAGTGAAATATACCAACAGTGTCAACCCTTCCTATGAAAAATGGCACATACTGTTGTTTCATCCACCATCACTCTGGTTAAAAATGGAATTGCTGTGTAGGATCATTAAGGGGCAACATCAAGAGTCACCAATCTTTTTGGATTTTGAGGCAGCGCTGGGGGCACCAGTCACAAAACATCTGCCAAGGGTGGCACGGCATAACACAAAATTAGAAAAAGTACAATTGCAGTGAAGTTTTCCCATAATTTTATCTTCATATGAGAAAAGGTTTAACCTGTTGAATTTCTGCCTAGGAAATGAGACAGATGCAGGAAAAGTGCACTAGAAAGGACACGAAAACAGCAGCTCTTGGGGGCCACAGGGATTCCTGTAGCCTTGGTGTCCAAATGTCTCACCATATGCAGCTCTGCTTTCCTTCACTAGGTTTAATAAACAGATAAAGCTACAGGCTTTAAAAAATAGTTCAAAATCTGGGGCTCTGAGTTGGCAACCTCTGTGGGCTAGACCCTTAAGTGTTAATAACTCAGGGTTTAATGATTTAACACAAATAATACTAGATACTCAGGATTTTACTTAGCAGCACTAGATATTTGATTTCACATTCGTTTCGCCTCATTGGAGCAGTGTATTCTTCAGATATATTTGCATCATTTGCCCGATTACTAAGTGGCAACTGGGAAGTTAACTGAGCGCCTTGAACAACAACCCTGAATTCTTTTACTTTGCACCAATCTAGTCTATAATCCGCTAGAACCTTGTACTACAGTTACTGACTGGGGTGTAGCTGCACTGGGCCCAGTACTGGTAAGGGAACCACAACCTGACTTCATGGGTTTTTAACCCTTATAAAACCAACTTCTTTTAGCCAATGAGCAATGTCAGAGCTGTGAGTGATGAATGCTACAGATAACTTTAAATGATCTAGGAATCTGTTTCTCCAAGCAATGGAAAGGGGCTTCATTCTGAAGCTGTGCACATTCCTAGAAATAATTGATCAATGTGTAGGTACGGCCTGGCCATAGCACCCTCACCTGAAATCAAAAGGCAGCAACAAAGACAAGACCTCCTGCTCTAACACAGGCTTAATTTCATGCCCCCCTGTGGCGATCACACAGGGTCCCCGAACGTTTCACCGTCTATTGATCCCTGTGCCACCACTTTATTTCTCACTGCCACCACCCAGGCCCTACCTGGTACAATACTGAGTCCAGTCAGGGCTACCGTATTTTTCGCCCTATAGGACGCACTTTTTCCCCTCCAAAAATGAAGGGGAAATGTGTGTGCGTCCTATGGGGCGAATGCCTCTCGCTCTCCAGGCTTCAGGAAGCTATCCACAAGCCTTGCGAGCCCGGCAGGAGTTCCCGCGGGCTCGCAAGCCTTGCGGGCAGCAACCTGCAGCCCGAAGCATGGGGCGCCCTCCGGAGGGTGCCCCGTGCTTCGCGCAGGTGTCCGCAAGCCTTGCGAGCCCGGCGGGAGTTCCTGCGGACTCGCAAGGCTTGAGGGCAGCAGCCTGCAGCCCACAAGCTCGGGGGACAGCGGGGAGGCGGAGCGCCGCCATCCCGCTGTTCTCCGGCCTGGTTTGGATTCCCCGACCTAGTTTTTTTTTTGGGGGGGGAAATAAAGGAAAACATTTTTTCCTTTATTTCCCCCCCCCAAAAAAAAAACTAGGTGCGTCCTATGGCTGGTGCGCCCTATGGGACGAAAAATACGGTAAATTGGAACAGAAACTTCTGTTTATTTATTGCAGATTAACAAGCGTGTGGTTTTATAAACGGTATCAGTCAATTACAATCATAGGGTGCCTATCCAGACCTATAACTTCCGCTACCTGCTCTCACTCCCTAAACCACCTGTCAGATATTTACTTGTCTTCCTAGCCCCTAACTGTTCCTGACTCAGCTTATTTTGCTACACTAACTCAACCTCCCCACAGACTCTATCCCAATTCACTCCCACACCAACCAACCTCCCAACGAACTCCTCCCTTAGCCCCTCCCAGAGCTGGTTTTATAGTCCCTCTGACTCCACCCCCCTGGGTTCTGATTGGGTAACTTGTTTAACTAATTCACCTCCAGCACTCTCATATGTTAGTGTCACACCCCAGCCCCCCCCCCCCGAATTACTCTGCTTTGAACTTATAAAATCAAATAAAATGCAAATAAAAACCATCATTATAATACCATATGTTTGGGGGAGAGAGGGGGAGAAATGGCTGTGGTGGGTAAATCATGGGTTACATCATTTGTGCAAAGTAGCTCAGTGTTGCTATACTAATGTTTTGCCGGCCCAGGGTGGGGCCCTAAACGTATATGACAACCCTGCAGTGCAGACCGATGTTGCCATCAAGTCTCTTGGCATATTGGGACTTCCCCCTCCCTCCCTCCCTCTTTCTCTTTCTTTCTTTCTTTCTTTCTTTTTCTTTCTTTGGGAAATGCAGCTGCAAATGCAGCATGTGATTAACTTATTTCCTCCCATGGGGGGTGAGGGAGGAGAATGGCTGTATTCTTGCAGTGGGTTGTTCCTGATCACATAAACACAAAAAGGGGTATTCATGTCAAAGACTCAAGTCCCTTTTGTTAACAAAAAAAGAAGGGGTTGGGGAATGAGCAGTTGTCTGACCTGTGCAGATAACACTGTTGTAGTTATCAGGAGGAGGATGAATAACCACAACAATGCTTTTCAATTATACTGCTTACTTTTTAACAGTTTACTCTTGAATTTACCCAAGTATGGGCATCTGAATCTTGCTATAAATATTAAATGCCTTTTGATCTCCCGCCGTACCCGCTCAGCCCCAAGCACGATGTGAAATACCGTGCCTGATCTTCCACTGAGTGTGGTATTGCCAGCCTAAGATCAAACTGATGAAAGATATACAGTAAGGGTGCAGAATCTCTGGCTGTTTCCCACAAGCCATGCCCACCTGCCTCAAACTTGATGTCATACATCATGTGTGGGGCAGGGGGAGGTGCAGCTGCCAGAATACAATCAGGAGACTGAAAAGTATGTCTTTGGCTTATCACCCATCAGCTAAACTGGATGTGCTAGCAAGTTCCCTGCAGGAACTCACTTGTGCAGCCAATGCCTGCGGAAAGTAGACTTCAGCATTACCACCCATCAGCTGATGGGCGGTAGAGCCAAGCCAGCTGGATCGGCTGCATGAGCAAGTCACTTTAAAGCACCAAAAAAGGCCTCAAGCACTCAATCATAGTGATGCCAGACCCTGCCCACATGCCAAGTTTGGCCTACAAGGCTAGGATCTCATAATGATCTGGCGTGTGGAGCCCAAAAGGCTCACTACCCCTGACTTAGTGTAAACTACCTGGTTTGCAACTCATGAAACTTGAGTTCTTTGAACGGCTTAGAGTTGGCACTTGGGGAGAACAGTGCTCTTCTAGCTCTAACAGCCAGGTGGTAGGCAGAAATAGAATGGGTTAAAGTATTTTGTACTACGAAACTATAATTGAGAAAAGCCTCACCTCTTCACATTCTTATTGCTTGTGAGAGGTTTATCTTTGAGGCCCTGTGAAAGACGACACATATTTGCATATAATGCAAAACCTATGCAAAATTGTGCTCTCTTCTGGCTTTTACCTTTAAAGCCCTATGCGGCCTAGGACCCACATACTTATGGGACCGCCTCTCCTGGTATGCCCCACGGTGGACCTTAAGGTCCACAAATGACAACATTTTGGAGGTCCCAGGTGGCAAAGTGGTTAGATTGCTCTCAACTAGGACCAGGGCCTTTTCAGTACTGGCCCCGACTTGCTGGAACGCTCTGTCACAAGAGACTAGGGCCCTGCGGGATTTGATATCTTTCCGCAGGGCCTGCAAGACAGAGCTGTTCCGCCTGGCCTTTGGTTTGGACTCGGTCTGACCCTTATGTTTCCCTCCCCTTATGGTCTTGATTTATCGGCTACTTTTAAATGAGGCTGCATTTTAAATTGCATTTTAACCTGTATTTTAAATTGTGTTTCCCTCCCCCCTCTCTTTCCCCCCTATTATGTTTTTACTGTGATTTTATTGGTGTTAGCTGCCCTGAGCCTGGCTCTGGCCGGGGAGGGCATGGTATAAATAAAATTT